ATACCATGGTTGCTGATTCAGGCTTCGATGTAGAGGCCCTATAGTCCTAAATTCTGATGATAGCTAGCCCTAAACCCTAAACCCTAAACCCTAAACCCTAAACCCTAAACCCTAAACCTTAACCCTAAGCCCTAAACCCTGAAGCCTAAACCCTAAACCCTAAACCCTGAACCCTGAACCCTGAACCCTAAAACCTAAACCTTAACCCTAAACCCTAAACCCTGAATTCCTAAACCCTAAACCCTGAACCCTAAACCCTAAACCCTAAACCTTAACTAAACCCTAAACCCCTAAACCCAGAGAACCTAAGCTTCTGGCTCAAGGGCATGGCAGGCATCGCGCAACATGTCCACAGGTCGGCCCTGAACGGACCAAGGCCATCGCCTCAAAGCGGGGTTGCAGGGCTTAGGTTTAGGGTTTAGGGTTTCGGGTTTAGGGTTTAGGGTTTAGGGTTCAGGGTTTAGGCGGTTGGGGGTTTATAGGGTTTATAGGGTTTAGGGTTTATAGGGTTTAGGGCTTATAGGGTTTAGGGTTCGGGCTCTAAGCCTCAACCGCAACCCCAAACCTATCTCATAGGAGTTGTAGGGTTGCTGGTAGGGTTTAACGGTGGGGGCTTTAAAGGCGCTTCAGAGAGCTTCATCAGGTTTATAGGGCTTGAAAATGAAAATAAGGGTTTAGGGCTTAGGGTTTAGGGATTAGGGTTTAGGGTACTTAGGCGTGAAAAAAGGCAGCCTTCACAGGCCTCAAAGACCCGGCCAGTCTGGCCCCTGAGCCCTAAACCCCACTGGCTGTAGCCTTCGGGGCTTCGGGGTGTACCTGAGCACTGAACACCTCAACTTCCTAAACCTAAAGGACCAACCCTAAACCCTAAACCCTCGAGCCCGACTCCGCCCTAAAGCCCTGAAAGGATTCAGGGTTGAGGGTGATTCCACCCTCAGCCCTCAACTAGACCCTAACCCCTAAACCCTATAAACCCTATAGTAGCCTCTATAAGAACCCTATAATAACCCCATAATGACCTCTATAATGAACTATCATAACCTCTATAGTAACCTGTCTAGTAACCCTAAACCTAAACCCAAAGCCCTAAGCCATAAACCCTAATAACCCTAAACCGAGGCCCCAACACCACGAGGTAGGTCGTGGAACCCGGCGCACGGCGAGCCAGGAGTTTCTGGAGTTGGGGCCTGCAGAGACTTTTAGGTTTTAGGGTTTAGGGCCAAGCTGTGGGGTTTAGGGTTTAGGGGTTTAGGGGTTTAGGGTTTAGGGATCCTGTAACATTCTTTCCCAATACAAAATCTTTAGACTGTTCGGGTTCTTATAATTTAGTAGTAGTCTCAAAATATAACTCTGTATTTCCCTACAGCTTCCGTTTCAGGTTTAGGGTTTGAGGTTCCTTTAAACACTTCCTTTTAGGGTTGAGGGTTTAGGTTCAGGTTTAAGGACGAGTCTTTAGGGTTTCAGGGATAGGATTACGTAAGGTATGTTTAGTCTAGCTGTCTAGAAACCTGAGCCCTAAGCACCCTGAACTGGGTCAGTCTGCGGACTTTGGATTCAAGTTTTGAGGGTTTTAGTATTAGGGTCTTGCGATTAAATTAGGGTTCCTGGGAACCGTTACACATCGCTAGCCCTTTAACGCCTTCATGTGGGTAGCTCTCTAGATTAAGGTCAATTTTACCAAAATAGTACGCCACCCTTATATTCCAAAGGGCACTTTAAAAGGGACCCTAAGCCCTAAACTCCCGAAACCCTAAACCCCCTAAACTCCCTAAACCCTAAACCCCAAATTCTGACTTAGGGCCCCCACGTTGGCAGCTCCGCGACCGGCATCAGCTCAGGAGGCGATGGTGGCGGCACGCGCTCAACGACAAACTCCTCTGACCTTGAAGGTGGGACATTGGGGGATTTAGGGTGTAGGTTTAGGGCTTGGGTTTAGGGTTTAGGGTTTAGGGTTTAGGGTTTAGGGTGTAGGGTTTAGGGTTTTAGGGTTTAAGGTTTATATAGGCTGGTTTAGGGTTTAGGGTTTTAGGGATTAAGGTTTATATAGGCTGGTTTAGGGTTTAGGGTTTAGGATTTAGGCTGATTTAGGCTTTAGGGTTTAGGGTTTGGGGGACCTCAATGCTTGTAGAACCCTTGTGGCCTCTAGCACGAGCCGGACGGAGGCTATACGTCTCTTCGACCCAGAATTTAAGAAACAATACTGTAACCCCCTTGGGTTTATATCCCAAACCCTAAGCCTAAACCCTGTTGGGGGACCCCTGGTGGACATATACATCACAACACCTGCTTTGGACCAAGGGCGGGATTTGCGAACTCATGCAATCGGCCATGATGGCGCACTTCGGGTGCGGGGCTTCAGGGCGCTTCCCTAAACCCAAAACTCCCAACTCTTAACGATGAACCCTGAACTTTGAAAGACTGGCTTGAAGCCAAGGTCTTTGCCACACCCGCCTTAGTTGATAGTGTAGGTTTAAGGGTTTAGGGTTCATATTACGGGACAGCTTTATTTTGTTGGAACCCGTAATTATTCAGGCTTCCATAGTAAGTTAGTTACTGCCGAGAGCAGTCGACAGAATGCATGGCAACCGTTGGAACCGTGAGCTCCACACAGCATCAGTGGGGTCCACCTCGGAGAAACGAGCAGCACAAAAAAAAGAGCAAAGCTCAACGTGAACCCCGATGCTTCGAATCGCTGAGTTCAAGCGCCAATGCACGGAGGTGTTTGTCTCGAAGCGAGCTTCCACCGTACCTGAATTCGGGTCCAGGATTTCCGGTTCAGGGCACAGGGCTAAACTGGGATTTGAGGTGTAGGGTCGTGTAAGGTTTCATATTCATCAGTTTCTTACGTTTTGGAAGACTTCTTTCGGGTGTAGGGCCCTAAATCGTACCATGGCAGGAAGCACACAGCAGCTTCGAGCCACTTAAACCCAGACCCCCGGAAGGATCTAGAAAATAGAACCCCTAATTTGGGACCCTAACTACTAAAGGGTACTTTATAGGAACCCCCTTATAAGGGGATCTACTTTTTAGATCCGTTTGGGGGTCTGGGTAAAGGAGTGTCTCGGGAGCGGGCAGCGGAAGATCTTGTCAGGAAGAAGGGCCGGCAAGCACCACTTCATCGTCGTGACCTGGTTTACGATTTGGGAGTTTCTGAAAATACTGGGTAATTACGTTATTTTGCGGGTCCTTATAATAAGGATCCTACTATTTAGGGTACTAGATTAGGGTCCTGTATTTTCGGAAACCCCCATTTACTTGTAAACCAAACCTAACACAACTTGTTTAAGGGACGCATGAAGGTGTCTTAACACGGAAGAGGTCGTTCGGGTCATGGCCAGGGCTTAGGACCTAGACCAGGGTTGGGGGTTGAGTAGTACTGAAACCCAGACCCCCAAAAGGATCAAAAAAATAGATCCCCTAATTAGCGACCCTAGCTGCTGAAGGGGTACTTTATAGCAACCCCCCTTATAAGGGGATCTACTTTTTAGATCCTTTTGGGGATCTGGGAAACGACTCTTGGTAATAAGAAATACAGGGCTTGGTCGGAACAAAACTTCGGATATCTTGTAGCTGGCCTACCTCACGGATCTGGGGGCCTAGCAAATAGGCTTGAAGTAGAAAACATGGGCTTAAGTAGGTGTCACTTCGGATAGTCGAAATTTGGACACACGGGCCGACTAACAATTTAGCAATCTACTTACGAAGTCCCTCTATCCCTCAATCTTTGTCGAGGTCTTAATACGTCATAGTGAATCATGGTCATTCCCAGGCGCTGTCCAGCCACAATGTGTCCCACTATCCAGAAAACTACAAACCATAACTCCGGATCCTGAGAACAGCTCCGTCGGATTTCCATCCGGAAAGGCACTCGGAGGCCTTGGCAGTGCAAGGACGAAGGTGGGTGGGCAAACCCCAAATACAAAACCCGAAAGCCTAAACCAAAGAAGCCCGAAACCCTTACAGCACCCTAAACCCTAATCCCTACCCTAAACCCTAAACCCTTACAGTACCCTAAACCCTAATCCCTACCGTAACCCTTGTGGTCCCCTGAAACCAACTCTTGGAAGAACCCTCAAACAAACGTCCCCAAAACCCAAAACCCGGCAGCCAAACCCCAAAATTCGTACCCTAAACCCTCCCTAAACCCTAAACCTAGGGAGCCCGGCAAGTCAAACTGTCGGTACAGCAGATCCCCTGGCTCGTGGTCGGCTGCCTGTCAGGGATTTAAGGGTTTGCTAATGGTTACCGAAAGGTTCCCCAAAGTTCCTATAATGTCGGAGCCTTAATAATTAGAACAGGGTTTTGGGGCCCATTATACCATTTTTGTAATACAGAACCTCCAAAATAATATAGGTATTTATTAAGGCCCTACATGAAGGAGTTCTAGCGGCTTCCTTAAATCTTCCTAGAACGTGGGGCGGCTTTTACGGGTCACTATAAGGGTTTAGAGTTTCGAGCACGTCTAGGGTGTGGGATTTTGGCTTTAGGGGACCATTGGGGGTTTGGGGTTTGAGGTTTCGGGGCCCTGAACCCTAAAGCCTAAACCCTAAATAGAGTCTAGAGGTTCGGGGGCCGAAGATGACCGCATTGTTTCGGGCTGCGGGAGATTTTTGGGGATGGCTTTTCTAAGGTTTCATGCGGGCTTTTCGGGATTGGAATGAGAACTTAGTGATGGTTCTATGAGGGTTTAGGGTTCAGGGTTCTATGAGGCTTCAACAGGCCGCTAATGGTTAATTGGACTAGAAGAGGGGCTTGGGTTACATTATATTGCAAGCATGTACGATTACTGGTACTTCAGGCATCTCTCGCACGTGCACGTGTCACATTGGCAAGGCTTCGGGAAGTGAAGGCTATATTCGATTTGAAGAAATCGAAGTACTCTGACTTAGACCTTGAATAGTAGGAGCATGGGTTAGAGCTTAGAGTCGGTTAGTCCCATTTAACCCTAAACCCAAAACCC